GGGGAGCCGCTGGCAAGTCTGGAGGGGTCTGCTGCGCCATGTGGGCCGCTCCCTGGCCCCCTGGGGATCAAACACAGGCTGCAGACGCTGCAGATCGCTTCATAGGTTGCTTCTTAACCCCTTGCACCACCAGGGAGGCCCATGGGCTGACTTTAGAGTCTCCCTTGAGTAGAATCCAGGCTTTCCTGAGCCTTGAGTGACCAGGAGCCCCATGGCCTGCCACACTCCAGCTGCAAGTCTTTGGTTTTCTAAAGGGGGTTATTATTAACGGAGTCAGTGTATTGAAAGCAGCGCCCTCTCTATGTCACTAAAGGACCCACCAGCAGGTGCAGCTGGGCACTGTCACCTACGAGGGTGCAAAGTTCTTCATGGGGGATCATCTGAGACCTGGAAAGGCCCTTTCCTGAGCTCTTGAGATCTTTTCTCTAGGACACCTGGTGCCAAGAGGATCCCTCCTATTTCAGGGGCTGCATCAGCCACAGTGACTCATTCCCCTGGGAACTGGGCATTTTGTAGATAATCCACATTGCCTCTTAACCGTTCTAATGTGTTAAAGTGATGTTACCTCCTTCCTCGCAAATCCCTGTTACGAGGAGAAGTTGGGCTCCTCAGGGAAGGAGAAAGGAATCCCGTTTACTGAGCACCTGCTGGAGGTGACCTGAGACCCTGCAGTGCACGCATGACTGAGTGAGTGATCTCCATTAATGACACAATAGAGATGTTGCTCCTACTCCGTGGTGGAGAACCCTGATGTTGGCGTTCCTGCAGCTCCTTGACATGGCTCTGGTTATGCCCAGAGGTGTTTTTCCTTCCTCATTGCTTCATTGGAGTCTTGGCACCCAAATAATTGACGATGCTTCTGGCCTTGTAGGGTTGGCAAGCCTGCCCAGAAGTCAGCCCATGGCTGCACTTCCACAAAAGTGGAATGCTCTATGTTGCTGCCACCATCTTTCTTGTTGACTTTGGAATCTCTGCTACCAGCATCAGGATCTGAGCTCTAGGAGGAGACTGAAAATGACAGCGTGCCTTCGGGCCAGACCCTGGGGATGGCTATAAACGGGGCAAGTTTTGGGAACTTAGAAGTTTCATTCTATTCTGTCCTATTCTTTTCTGTGTTTTGTTTTTTGGTGGTTTCAGGTCTCATAGCCGAGTCTGTTACCCATTTTGAGTTGATTTTCATGTGTTACATGAGATAATGATCTAGTTTCTTTATTTTGCTTGTGGCAGTTCCTATTTTTCAGCACCATGTATTGGAGAGGCTTTCCTTGTTCCAGCGTATGTACTTTGCTCCTTTCTTGTATATTACTTGTCCATAAACATGTGGTTTTTCATCTGGGCTCTCAATTCTATTCCATTAGTCTGTGTGTCTGTTTTTGTTCCATTACCATGCTGCTTTAACTTCTCTGGCTTTATAGCATGGTTGGAAATCAGAGGTGGGATACCTTCATTTCCCCCCTTTGATCTCAGAACAGCTTTGGCTATTTGGGGTCTTCTGTGATTTCTGATGAACTTCAGTAATCTTTGTTCTATTTCTTTGAAGAACGCCATTGGGATTTTTTTGGGATTGCACTGAATCTCTAAATTGCTTTGGGTTGGATGGCCATTTTGACAATGTTGATTCCTCCAACCCATGAGCTGGGCATATCTTCCTGTTTGTTTTAAGAAAGGAGGATCCAGTACAGATGATCCAGGGTCTGTGGGCCAGGCTGAATTTCATTCTTTGTCCTTAGAGTAATGGATACCAACATAATCCTTGTTGTTAGCTTTCATAGCATTTACAGGATGACACTGAGAGTTTCTTGTGTTTTTTTTTTAAAGATTTATTTATTTTTTTTAAAGATTTATTTATTTATTTATATAAGCACCGGGTACAGTCAGAAGTGCAGGAGGGTGAGAGAACTCACCAGAACCAGAGCAGGGAATAGAACAGGCAGACTGATGAAACATACTGCTGAGGGGAGCAGTGGGCACGGCAGGAGAGGTCTGTTGCACCATGTGGGACCCTCGCCGGTGGCCGGGGATAGAACCGGTGCTGCAGAGGCTGCAGGCAGCTTCGCAGCCCAGCAACCAACTGCTGAACCACCAGGGGAGGCCCAAAGATTTATTTATTTTTATATCAGAACGAGGGTACAGGCTAGAGATGCGGGGGGTGAGAGGCTCCACCAGAGCCAGAACAGGAAGACTGACAAAATACACTGCTGAGGGGAGCAGCGGGCTAGACAGGAAAGGTCTGCCTCGCCATGTGGGACCCTTGCCAGCTGGCCAGGATCGAACCTGCACTGCAGAGGCTGCGGACAGCTTCACAGTGTGGCGCCCAACCACCTGCGCCACCAGGGAGGCCCTCTTGTGTTTTTTAAATAATTAAAATGTCTAGCCCATTGCTCCCCCCCCCACCAAAAAAACCCTTTGCTCATATGAATTACCTCTGCATTTTGGCAGGAACTTTCACATTATGCATAGGAATATAATAAAAATGAACATAAAATTCTGCCTGACAAGCATAAAACAAAAGAAAATATTTGGGAATGTGATTTATTTGATACATAAGATTAACTGAATGTTGATAGAAGAACAGTTAACAGTTTAATGAAAAGTATATTATAATATTATATATATGATATAATTTCTTCAGAATAACATTTTAAACATAATGATCAAGCTCATATATAAACATAATTAGGAAATTTCTAGAAGAATCTGAGTGCATACAGCATCATACAGTTCTTGAGATCACAGGGTTATATCTTTCTCAGTCAAGTAAAAAGGTCATGATTTGTGTACATCATTTTGGTAAGGTTTTAGAGACGTCAGCACATAGGCATCATTGAGCAAACCTGAATCTATTACAATAGTATTTTGCAAGGCATTCGTATTCCTGAAATGTCACATTAGCTATATGAAAACTATCAATATTTATATATAAAAAATTGATAGAATTTGTGATTACTGAATAGTCTAAGTTGTCAAACTCATCCAGATACTTCTTTTACGTCTGAGAGAAATGTGTACTGTTATGGAGCATCAGGTAAAATCCAGCTGTGCTTTAATCCCATTTCAGTCTATCCTCACAGAAAATATTGACTCTTTTTTTCCTTCAGACATGCAGCTGTCAACTATCCTGCTATGGGTCTAGATTTGCATTATATATTTCTTTCCTACCTGTTCCTTTTCATCTAAAATACATGTTCCATGAAACAACTTTCACTGTCTGAATAACGAAGGCAGGAAGTGTGGTCTCATCACACCTGTCAGAGAATGTTCATGGGCACAGCAAGTAGTATGGGCTAAATTTAAGGGAATGTAGTTCTTTTAAGAAGTGGTAAAATCACTACTTATCTACAGGCATTGTTAATGTCATGGTTATCATTCCAGTAACAATTTCATTTCATACCAATCTATATGACCAACTGCTCCCTTCCCCAGTAAATTCGATAACACAATGCAATACCCACAAAGTATGTGTGCTTGAATGAAAATAGATGAAGTTACAGAGCTCCTAGGGAGATACATAGACTGAAATCTCTGGAAATATTAAAGATTTGTAAGCAATAGCAGAGAGTATATTCATCATAAAGATTAGTGAAGACACACAAGATTGTGGTGATCATTAAATCCAAATGCAACAGTTCAGAATAAAACATTTTTTTCTTATAAAATGATTCTTTCTAAGAAACAATTCTGATGGAACCAGTTTTATCTTGCGAGGTCTTGCAAGAATACTCGCAACCTCTGGCTCACAGATCAAGTATCCTTGAAAATGTCATAGCATATCACATCCATTCTTTGGGTGTGGACTAAGAGTTCATTGAGAAGGAACATGAGTTTCTTAACATGTCCTGAGGTGACATCTGTCACATCTGTTCACTTTCCATTGGGAAGAACTAGTCACATGATCACTCAGAACTGCGCGGGATCTGAGAAAGCTCCTTTTGCCTCATTAATTTCAGGCTATCACTATATTATAGAGTTGAAAAACGATTTCTAGGTAGCTTCTTGTCTTTGATATAGAGAAATGTTGCTATTCAGTTGTTCTGAACATAAGAGGGTTTTTTGCTATTTTTGTGGTATTTTTGGTCTGCTTATACTTTGCCTGCTCAGTTTTCTGGCCAACTAGGTACATATAAAGCCCCAAATATAAAGTAACTCATATTGGGAACAGTAGTATGAAATAAGTCCACTAAAATGAGGTCAGTCTATAGAGCTCATCTCACTAAACGGGGGAAAGAATTCAATTCAATATTCTATATCCATGTAGAATGCATGAATTTCTTGAGATTAATGTAACATTCACAGTGATGATATGCCGGGGACCAGCCCTTTAGCTTCGGCCCCACGGTGTGAGGCCCTTTAACTTAGCTGCTTGCCAGTGTCTTATCTGGCTGGGGCATCAAGGCCCCCTGCAGCAATGATACCCTGAAACATCATTTTTATTTACATTATAAAGACCCATTATATTTTTGGGTACAATGAATAACATTATATATTCTGAATCTTATAGGAACTTCCAGAGAAATGAAATAATGTCCCAAGCAAACATGCAGGAAATGAATTAGCTTCATAGAGTAAATGCCACATTTGGCCTTATACGGTAGCAGCCCTGGATGAGTCACTGATAGGGCTTTAAAATGGAAATGTTTGCTGGTAGCCCCTGACTTATTCTTCTCATCTTTTTCTCCCAGAAGAAATACTCAGTGAGTACAAAGGAGATTGTTTTACAGTAATAAACACTTTCATTTCACAAAGTAAAAGGAAAGTAAGAGGGCTCATTTGCACATCTGGACCTGGGATTTCTTGCATGGCGCTCCAACAGTAGGCACGACTCTTGCAATGTCCCCAGACCCAAAGCTTTCCCTGTGGTCCTTGTGCTCCAGAAAATTGGTGATCTTGGCTTTCTTTTCCTTATATAATAATTTTTTTTCTTTTCTGGATTTATTGGACTGCTTTCTATTGAAATTTTCATCTTTCTCCAATCTCTCTCTCTCTCTCTCTCTGGTCTATAGGTGGAGTGTACTGATGATGAGCCTCATGCTGGTTTTCATGGAAAGCCTTGTAGGTGATATCTACGGCTCTAGGTTTGTGAGGTATCCTTTCAGAATGCTCAGGTAATGGTGCCAGGACGAGGTCCAGATCCCAGCACCTCTTAGCAAGTTTCTGTCATGAACTGTGCATATGTGGGGATGGACCCAACCTCCATTTCTGGAGGACTGTAGGGCAAGGAGAGGATGAAATAACATATTCAGAATAGAGATAAAATATACGAGTCACAAATATCCTAACCTGCAGGATTGTCCTACGGAGAGGAGAGAGTAATAATGTTCTTCCCAGACAAACAAAAGCTGAAGAAGTGGTCCACTAACACTAGATCTTCCCTGAAAGAAATGTTAAAAATAATCTCCTGTATAATTTAAAGAGAAGAAAATGCAAAAAAAAAGAAGAAAGAAAGAAAGAAAAAAGAAAAAGCTGAGCAGGGAAATAGAACCAGAAAACTAAAGTCAAAGTGGCAGTAGAAGATCCTCTATTGAACTCACCCATCCAAAGGCAGAGAGAGGCCAACCTTGGTTCAGGAATCAAAACCCAAGTTTATGCAGTCCCCGGGAGACCCTTCTGAGCCCCGAAGATAAACAGGCTCCCGGCTCAAGGCTGAATATTACACCAAACCACGGAACAGACTCAGGGATGTCAGAGTCTGGGCCACGGTGTATTGTGCCGCACCGTGATGTGCAAAGAGAAATCTTCTATGTGGAGCCAAGACCCTTCATTTTTCTCATAATGTATTTTGAATAGCAGCTGCTTTTTAATGTTTGCAATAGGATCCATTTCAGGATCTGCAGGTAAATGACAATTTTAGTCATGCTTTTATTTTACTTATTTTTTTACAGATTTATTTACTTATGAACACAATAGCTGGTGTTAGGAGTTGGCGCCTCAACTCCGTCCGGGGTTCCCAAAAACTACACGGAGCCAGAGATGCAAAAGCAAAAAGGCTTTATTGCTAGCTTAAGCTAGGGTCTGACTCTGCCTGGTGTACTGACACAGCAGTCTCATCAGGTTGAGAGAAGGACCCCTTTAAGGGTGACAAGCTGTTTTTTATACTCTGTTTACAGCAGAAAAAGGGGACCTTTCATATCAGAAAAAGGGGACCTTTCACAGCAGAGACCAAGTTCAATCTGATTGTGTACCTTTCTTTGGCAACCTTTAAGTTTTGTTTATCCTTGCCTTGGGGAACTTGTGGTTTTACCCTGAAACGAAACTTGGGCTCAGCTGTGCTCTTCAAAATGGTCATCTTCCTTAAAATGGCTGCTGTCTTGCTATGTTTGGTCCTTCAATATCTTACACTGGGGTGCAGCCAGAGGTGCGGGGGTGGGGTAAGGGGATTCACTGGAGACAGAGCGGGGAACAGAACAGGTGGACTGACTGAAATCCACTGCTGAGGGGAGCAGCGGGGAGGCAGGAGAGGTCTGCGGCTCCCTGTGGGTCACCTTCCTGGCTGGGGATGTGATGTTGGCACCAGATGACGTGATGAGTCCCTTCGTGGTCGCCAGAAGGGTTGTAGAGTGCGTGCGGGTCCTGGGGTTGACTCTGGCAAAGGTGTCCCCAGAGCTCCCATTTCAGCGGCACCCGGCGAGTTCCCCAGGCACGTTTCTCCACGGGACAGAGACATTAGTTACAGTTAAAGAGTGGGTTTATTAGGGAAAAAGAAAGGGACAGGTTTTGCTGAAAGAGGCCTGCATGGTTGCATGCGGGCGGCCTTGACAGGTCACGGCAGGCAGGAGGCTGCTGCCCTACAGAGGGAGAGAGTTGGTGAAAAGAGGCACCTGCACAGTCACGGGTGTGCAGTGGGACGGCTGCCCCGAGCCTGTGCAGAGACTGCCCTGATACAGTCCTTTTCTCTTTCGGAGGGTCACTCCTCCGTGGAGTGGCTGCTTGTTGCTGATATTGGGTAACAGGCAACCCTAGAAAGGAACCTGACATTCCAGGGTGGGCCCAATCTCCATATCCTTCCCCTCAGGCCTGTGCGCCACTCCCTAGAGCATCTGATCCTGCTCAGGTCTCCTGCCTTGTGGCAAGGCTCTGGCGCCTGAGGGTCCGACCGCCACAGCTGGGTTAAAGGTCGTGTGATTCCCCTCGACCCCCACCTCCTTGCGTGAGTCAGGTTTTAGTCTTGTGAGGCCTCCTTTCCAGTATCTCCATTCGTGTCCTCCATCAGATGGATCTAGCGTTGCAGAGGCTGCGGATGGCTTCACAGTGCAGTGCTTAACCCCTGCGCCACCAGGGAGGCCCCAAGCCTTGCTTTTATGTCAGTTTCAGGTAAGGGGATTTTTAGCAATGATTTAAAAAAAAATCCCAGAAATTCAAGCAACCTTGTTTGCTGTTCTCATGACTTGCAGATATTTTAGGGTCTGGCTGCAGTGGACGCTGTCAGTGAAAGGCTGAGAGTCCCGGAGCCTGCCACAGACACACCCGTGCCTCCTGCCCCAGCCCGCCTGCCACAGCCCACTGTGACCTGCTCATTAGCTGGAGTTATGTTGGGAGAAGGCCTTGGGTTGCACTAAAGGTTTCAGGGAGTGACTGATGGACTTTCTCTGGCCAGGGGCCTGACTGTGCACCCCAGATGACCAGGTGAGCTCCTGGAAGTCTCCTGCTTCTCTACCCCCTGCTTGCTTTAAGGTGCGAATCTGCCCCTGCCAGGGAGATGGGTGCTCTGTAGTCCGATGGCTCAGGGCTCGGACTTTGGAAAAAAGATCACCTCTGGGCCTGCGGGATAAATAAAGATGAAATTCTTCTATAACCTCTTACAATCTAAAAATCAAAAGTTAGAAGGTCCTAACTCTACATGCAAATAAAGTGAGGTGTATTAAGAATTGTATTTAACAAGGCCTCCTCTGGTGGCACAGGCCGTTGAGTGCAGCGCTGTGAAGCTGTCCACAGCCTCTGCAACACCGGTTCGATCCCTGCCAGCCGGAGAGGGTCCTGCATGGCACGGCAGACCTCTCCTGTCACGCCCACTGCTCCCCTCAGCAGTGTATTTCAGTAGATCTGCCTGTTCTGTTCCCCACTCTGTCTCTGGTGAATCCGCTCATCCCCTGCATCTCTGGCCTGTACCCCAGTTCTTGTGTGCATAAACAAATCTTTTTAAAAAGGATTATGCATACAAGAATTGGGGTGTAAGCCAAAGATGGGGGTGTGAGAGGATTCATCAAAGACAGAGTGGGGGACAGAACAGGCAGACTGACTGAAACATTGCTGAGGGGAGCAGCGGGGAGACAGGAGAGGTCTGCTGCACCATGTGGGTCAGCTCCCTAGACAGGGATCGAGCACAAGCTGCAGTTGCTGGTGATAGCTTATAGTGCAGCGTCTTAACCCCTTGCGCCCCCAGGGTGCCCCTCTGTTCTCTTATTTTCCTTTTTATAAAGGCAATGAACTAGTCACAAGGAGGAGCTTTCAGTTATGTAAAATTTTGTTTTATGAAATATCCTGGCCCCATTCATTATTTTGTCCTGCTCCTCTCGTAGGTGTAGACAACTTTCTTGTATTTGGAAGCTGGAAGGGCTCAGATATTGTCTTGTTTTCACTGATTTATTTTTAATTAAAGCTATATACAGCTGTGCATTCAACAGAATAAATTTCTAAATTTATAAATGAAGAAAAAGGGCAAAGGATGTTTATTTTGGTTGAAAAGCTAGCCAGAGCACAGGTTCAGGGTAGAAACCCAAACACTCTCACTAAAAAAAAAAAAAATGAGGTGACCTTGACATTAACTCCCAGCGCTGCTGCTCTGCCCTCACCTATGTGACTAGCAGGAGGCCATGTTTCATCCTCAAATGTTTTTCTGTAACCACATGGAATTCTTAAGACTTTTTAAAAATTACTTTTCCCCTGCCAAGGAGCAAGGAGGTCATTTTACCAATGGAGTTTTCATCAGCTTCTATTACTGGTCCTGATAATGATAGGGAGTTGTGTATGTTATAGAAGAGTAGAATAAATTAGGATGAACAATATTAAAAAGTACTCTTGTGACTTAGCATGTTTCCTTCCTAGTTTTTCCCCCATATTTGCAATTGTGAAATAGAATGCCTGTGTAGAAGGTAGGTAGTATTTGAGACTTAGAAAATGAGCTTCCTTTAAATAGGTCAAGAAATATAAAGTCACATCATATCATGATCTTCGCCCATAAGGAAGCCCCTATATGGCTGTCACTAATTTTTTTCTTTGCTCTTCACTACATATCCTAGGTATGTATCCACTGCATGTACCATTAAAATGTGATTTTAATTTTGTCTGGAATTTAATATTTAAATTAAATCATGTTCTGTTTCTGTCTTGAATGTCACTCAACAGTATGATGGCAAAGCTAGTCCACATTTTGGATGTAGCTTGAGGCTTTTATTTGCACTGCTGTATAATATTCCACTTGGTGCACAGTTGTTGTTTACATTGTGTTTTACTCACACATAAGGGTTAAGGAGAGTATGCTTACATCATCGCTAAAAATTTATATTCTTCATCATTTAACACTGCACTGTAAGTACTCTCCACAGCATTAAAAAATATTCAGCGTTACTCTATCTGTCCAGTCTTTACATTTAATTTTGTATATATTGGGGGTTTTTATTTAGATAGTTTCAAATCACTTTACTGTAAATAAAGTGTTGGTGAACAATTTTACACAAAGATTTTTATCTGAATTTGAAAACATTTTCTTAGGTCATTTCCAAAAATAAAATTACTATTTCCATTAAAAATTCAAGTATTTTAAATTCAAAGTTCCCTGCAGAGGGGTTGTGAACTTACTTCTCAGGATTAGTGAGGGCAGGTTTCCTAGTCTCACTAACAGTCTATCTGGTTTCTCTGGACACACATTCCCACCGTGCTCTGCTGCTCCTGCCTCTGCGCTGGCTGCCCCTTCCCCGCGGCCGTCATGGCTGTTCCCCACCGTCAGTCAACTCCACCCCACAGGCCCCCTCGTGGTCCCCGAGCTCGGCCACCTGCGCCTCTCCTCCCCTTTGGCCGCTTGTCAGGGATGCCCTGTCTCGCCACTGATGGCCACCAGGAGGCGCCCTCCCGTTATTTTTCACATGGTCCTCACCGCCCTTTCCATTGCCTGAAACACGTCTCTGCCTTATTGACAGTCCAGCCTGCACATTATTCCGGGCTTGGCCCTGTTACCTCGTTCCTCCTGCCGTTTCCCGCCTTCCTCTCCACCTCTCACCCCTCCAGGCGCTTTACCTTACCCATCCCCCTGCCATCATCAGTCTGCGTTTTCCCCGCATTACCCCCCCGGGCCACAAGGCGGCGCCACCCGCTCCACCCGCGCCTTCATTGCGCGGCCGGGAGCCGCTCTTGGCGCCACCACTTATGGACCCACTCGCGTTTCGGGCCGTGATATTCCCACGATACCACCCCAGTCCACAAGGCGGCCACACGCGCTCGTCTCACTCTTTTATTTTTGCCTCCGGGAGCCGCTCTTGGCGCCGCCAGTTCTGGTCCAGCTGCTGCCTTGCACTGCGACTTTCCCACGATACCACCCCAGTCCACAAGGCGGCGAGACGCGCCCATCTCCCTCCTTCATTTTCCCTCTGGGAGCCGCTCTTGGCGCCGGCACAACCAGTCCTGCTGGCGTTTCTGGCCTCGATTTTCCCACGATACCACCCCGGTCCACAAGGCGGCGACACTCGCTCCTTTCGCTCCTTTAATTTACCTCCGGGAGCCGCTCTTGGCGCGGCCATTTCCTGTCCCGCTAGCAGTTCTGGCCGCCATTTTCCCACGATACCACCCCAGTCCACAAGGCGGCGACACTGGCTCGTCTCGCTCCTTTAACTCGTCCCCAAGAGCCGCTCTTGGCGCGGCCATTTTCGGTCTAGCTGGCGTTTCAGACAGCGATTTTCCCACGATACCATCCCCGTCCACAAGGCGGCGACACTCGCCCATCTCGCTCCTTCATGTTTCCCTCCGGGAGCCTCACTTGGCGATGGACAGCACTTCCAGTCCTGCTGGCATTGCTGGCCTCGATTTTCCCACGATACCACCCCAGTCCACAAGGCGGCGACACTCGCTCCTTTCGCTCCTTTAATATACCTCCGGGAGCCGCTCTTGGCGCGGACATTTATGGTCTAGCTGGCGTTTCAGACCGTGATTTTTCCCACGATACCACCCCAATCCACAAGGCGGCGACACGCGCTCCATTCGCTCCTTTAGTTTGCCCCCCCAGCCGCGCTTGGCGCTGCCGCTCACGTTCCGCCAGGTGCATCCTGGGAGTCTCAGAGTGATGACGTGTTCCGAGGGCGCGCTTAAAGGGCCAATACTTCAAAGGGCTGCTAAAGGACCGGCGGGAGGCCTGAGAGCGCCGCTGGCGCCGGGTAATGGCGGAGCTGAGAGGAGTGAGGCCCGCGCCGTGGCGCAGGGGAGGGCGGGAGGCTTCACCAGGACAGCGGGACAGAGCAAGTGACGGCAGGAGAGGAGACCTGGCCTCACTGTTCCTGAGAAGTAAGTTCGCAACCTCTGCGGGGAGCTTTGAATGTAAAATAATCATGTTTTCCGTTTTTTTTTTTTTTTTTTTTTTTAAGGATTTATTTATTTCCATAACCCCCGGGGACAGGCCGGGGGCGCGGGAGGGGGCGAGGCCGCCGCAGAGACAGGGCGGGGAGCGGAACCGGCCGCCTGGCGAAGCGCACCGCCGAGGGCTCAGCCGGGAGACAGGCGGGTCCGCCGCGCCCTGCGGGCTGCTCCGAGGCCGGCGGGGATCGACCCGGCGCTGAGGCTGCGGACGCTTCAGAGCGCAGCGCTCAGCCCGCTGCGCCACCGGGAGGCCCTAAAATACATTTTCAATGGAAATAGTAATTTTATTTTTGGAAATGACCTAAAGAAATGTTTCCAAATTAAGATTAAAAAATTCTAATGTGTAGGGCCTCCCCCCGTGGCGCAGCAGTTGAGCCTTGGGTTGCTAAGCTGCCCGCAGCCTCTGCAGCGCGGGTTCGATCCCCGGCTGCCGGGGAGGGCCCCGCATGGCGCGCAGACCTCTCCTGCCGCCCGCTGCTCCCCTCAGCAGTGTACTTCGGTCCTTCTGCCTGCTCTGCTCCCCGCTCTGGCTCTGGTGAATTCTCTCACCCTCCCGCACTTCTGATTGCACCCAGTGCTTGTATAAATAAATAAATCTTAAAAAAAAAAACCCTATGTGTAAAAATGTTCACTAACACTTTATTTACAGTAAAGTGATTTGAAACTAAATAAAAACCGCCAATATATACAAAATTAAATGTAAAAATTACATACAGTAACACTGAATAATTTTTTTTTAAGATTTATTTATTTATACATGCACTGGGTACAGTCAGAAGCGTGGGAGGGTGAGAGAATTCACCAGAGCAAGAGTGGGAATCAGAACAGGCAGAAGGACCGAAGTACACTTTGAGGGGAGCAGCAAGCAGCAGGAGAGGTCTGGCGCCATGTGGGACCCTCACCCGGCAGCCGGGGACCGAAGCAGCGCTGCAGAGGCTGCGGGAAGCTTAGCAACCCAGCGCTCAACTGCTGTGCCACCGGGGAGGCCCAACACTGAATAGTTTTTAATGATATGGAAAGTACTTATATTAGTGTTAAATGTTGACAGTGGAGATATCTAGCAATGATGTCATTCCACCACAGAAGGAATATATTAATGAAACATCCTCTCCTTACCCCTTATCTGAGTAGAACAATGTAAACAACAGCATCAAGTGGACTGTTATACAGCAGTGAGAATAAACACTCTAGGTGCATCCAAAATGTGGACTAGTCTTGCCTTCATACTATTGACTGTCATCTGAGACAGAAACAACATCACACAAAATTAAAATCACATTTTAATGATAAATGCTGTGATACATAGCAGGATATGTAGTGAAGAGCAAAGAAAAAAATTAGTGACAGCCATATAGGGGCTTCCTTATGGACGAAGATAATATGATGTGATTTTACATTCCTTGACCTATTTAATGGAAGCTTGTTTTCTAAGTCTCAAAATACTACCTACCTTCTACACAGGCATTCTATTTCACAATCGCAAATATTGGGGAAAAAACTAGGAAGGAAACGTGCTAAGTCACAAGAGTATTTTTTGATACTGTTCATCCTATTTTATTCTACTCTTCTATAATATACAATTTCTATAATATACACAACTCCCTGTCATTATCAGGACCAGTAATAGAAGCTGATGAAAACTCCATTGGTAAAATGACCTCCTTGCTCCTTGGCAGGGGAAAAGTAATTTTTAAAAAGTCTTAAGAATTCCATGTGGTTACAGAAAAACATTTGAGGATGAAACCTGGCCTCCTGCTAGTCACATAGGCGAGGGCAGAGCAGCAGCGCTGGGAGTTAATGTCAAGGTCACCTCATTTTTTTTTTTTTTTAGTGAGAGGGTTTGGGTTTCTAGCCTGAACCTGTGCTCTGGCTAGCTTTTCAACCAAAATAAACATCCTTTGCCCTTTTTCTTCATTTTTAAATTTAGAAATTTGTTCTGTTGAATGCACAGCTGTACATAGCTTTAATTGAAAATAAAGCAGTGAAAACAAGACCGTACTTCAAAGTCTGTGCCCTTCCAGCTTCCAAACACAAGAGTCCTGAAAGTTGTCTACACCTACGAGAGGAGCAGGACAGAATAATGAATGGGGCCAGGATATTTCATAAAACAAAATTTTGTATAACTGAAAGCTTCCCTCTGTGACTAATTCCTTGCCTTTACAAAAAGAAAAAGAAGAATAGGACAGAATAGAATAGAATGGAATTCCCATGTGCAGCTCAGGCTGTCACAGATCAGTATCAATCCAGTGTCCTGGCAAAGATCATCGTTGATAGTTCAACTGTGGCTTTAACTTTCTGTCTCTCCTAAAGCTCAAACCCTGGTTCATTAAATGGAGACGCCACAGGCAGTAGGAGAGCCGGGGGCATTAAAACGCTCACGTGAACTTTTGTGGTAGCTCCACAGTGGCCTTATTTTAATACCGTATCCTCTATAACATGATAAACCAGTTTTATCTCGGGAATATTCTTTCTTCCTCTTTCCCAAATACATCTAATGTGTCCCAAATACATCTAATGTGTCCACCAAGGTGGATTTTTTTTAATGCTCTGTTTTATGAATGTTCCATACTAGGAAAAAGTAACATATCAGGTGGGGGACTCACTACCTGTATGCAATTTATTTTATTTCATTGCAGTTTCAGGATAAAGTATTTCTCTCAAAATGAGAAGATACTCGTGTGGGGGAGCCATGAATGAGATGATCTCCAGAGGTGATGACAACATTGATCATGGTTTTTATTAACACAGATTAATTTTTCATTTATGCGTCGTAATCAAAGCTCTCCCATCTGAGTGTCACTTACCCGAGCTTCCCGGTCACCCTGAGCTGCGTCAACACCAGGGGCGCTGTTCATTAGCCTGAAACAGAAAATACATCACGGGATTGATTATATGAGCATTTTCAAGCAAAAGAGAAATGGCTGCAGCTGAAGGTACAGGGCATGTCTCTTAGGAAAAGGTTATAAAGAGCACAACAATTGTACAGATCTCCCGCTGTCCTGCTTTGGGGGGCACTCCGTGTCCCTTCCCAGTGACCTGATGCTGCACCCAGGAATCCTACAGGCCTGGTTCCCCTTCCCACTCTTACTCAGTATGACCTGATCCTGCGGGTTCTCAGACTCACTGCCTCACGGCTGTGCAGCTTCTGCCAAAGGGAACCGCTCCCCTGCATGAAGGTCTCCGCTCCTGGCGAGAGGCTTCTGCCCCGGCAGGATCTGGAATCAGATATGGGGCAGTTCTGCACTCAGGGAGCACTCACAGAGCTACTGGGACTTCACCAGAAGAGAGGGGAGGGCAGGAAACAGTGGTTGGCACACCTGGGAGGGGCGGTGTACAGGGCAGCGCCCCCAGAGAGGAGGGCAATGCTGTGCTCAGGGTTAGAGCTGAGTTTTGGGTACCAGCAGCGTCAAGTATCCACCATCATCTCCACCCAGGCCCCCAGAGTCATAAAGTCAGCGAGTTGTCTGCACTGTCGGGGAGAGGAGCCGCGCCAGCTGAGAGGTCCAAAGATAGGAGGGTCCCCACTTGGATGTGGGGCCCGCAAATCAGTGCTCTTTCAGTTCATGACATTGGGGGTGCAGTGAGGGGGGCGGGGAGGAAGGGGGAGCAGAGTAGTGGTGAAGTGTGCAGGGAGGGCCTTGAAAGATGGGGCCCTGGAGCCTTGCATGAAGGCACAGATGCCAGGGGGTCCTCCAGGCCTGTGACTGCCTTTGTGGCTCCACTCTGCTCCCCCCCCCCCACTCCCGGGGTTGCAGAACTGTGTGGCCTCGGAGAGGCTGTTTCTCCAGCTCTTTCTTTGGAGGCCTAAGCTGAAGGCGAGTCCACTGCTCTCAGGGGCTCCCCGACAGGGGGAGATTACAGGAGAAGGGACCCTGCAAGCCAAACACCCAACAGGGAGAAGGGGAGATGCTCCCCCAAAACACGGACCCCCGAACAGCACTTGGGGTCAGCGGGCCGAGGAGGTGCCCCAGCGATTCTCTGATACTCTTGGGGGCACCTGCTCTCCCGTCTCCCTTACACTGGAGTGAAATGGGGCTCCCCTCGGGGTGGAAGCAGCGACCCCCCCAACTGCGCACACCCGGGCACCCGCTCTGCCCGCCCCACGCTGGGCCTGGGGCGGGAGGGGGCTCCGCCAGGAAAGTTTACTACGTGCGCCCCAAAAGCCACCCTAAACCCGCAGGAGTGAAAGCAGCCCGCAGGACAGAGGGGAGCCCGACCCGGGGGCGCCCTCAGGGCCCTGAGGAGCCGGGGGCGAGCCCGCGGCCTCGGGGTCACGCTCGGGGCCGGGCCCGCCCTTGTGCTCCTCAGGGCCCAACAGGAGCCCCAGAGCCCGGGTCCCCGTCCAGCCCTTCCCGCCGGCCCCGCCCGCCCGGCCAGAGAGTCCGCGGCCCGAGGAGGAAGCAGCAGCCCGCCCGCCCGGCGCTCCCCGCCGGACACGGTGAGCACCGCCGGGAAGCGCCTCCGCCGCCGCCCCTGCCCCGCCGCCCGCGGGCCCCGCCGCCTCCTGAGTCTCCCGGCCCGGGGCCCGCGCTGCCCGAGAGGGGAGAGGGGCGCGCCGGGGGCCTGTCGGCCTGGGCGAGCCGCCGGGGAGGGAAGAGGGGGGATATGGGGGGGCGGGGGCGCGGTGGGTGGCTGGGGGGGATGTGCTGGGTGCCTGGAGGGGGGTGTGGTGGCTGGAGGGGAGACGCGGGGGTGGCTGGGGGGACGTGGTGGCTGGGCCCCTCCCCGCAGCCTCTCGCGTCTCCTGCTCCAGCCGCACACCCGGCGCCGGTTACCTCCGCGTGGGGGTCCCACAGAGGCGGGGTTCAGGCGCTCCCCCCACCCCCGGGCAGGAGGTGAGCCCCAGGGTCCCTCCGGGCTGGCCCCGCCCGCGCCTCCGCTTCAGCCTCCGCCCGGAGCCGCCCGGGAGGGCCGAGTGACGGGGCCTCCCTGAGGCTCTCGCGCTCCGGGCGCCCTGGGGACCCGCCCGCCGGCGGCAGAGCGGGCTGGGGGCTGCGGTCAGCGGCTCGGCCCTTGAAGTCCCAAGGAAAGTGGGTCGGAGCGGCCCCCCACCCCCGGCGCCTCCGCAGCCCCCCGCATTCCCCGCCGCCGGTCCTCGCCCCGCTGTCCTGTCCCCGCGCAGAAGGCGCAGGGAGGCGGAGGCGGCGGGACGGGCGCGGGAAACGGGCCGCGTGACGGGTCTGGCTGAGCGGGGCCGCGGGACGCGGCGTCCCGACCGGTCCCCGCGGCCCCTCCGTCCCCGGAAACGCCGCCGGCGCCGCCCGGACCCGGCCTCGGGCTCCCGACCCCGCGGCGCCCCGGCTCCTGCGCGCCCCGCCCGGCGTCTGTCTGGGGCCCTCGACACCCCCTTCCCTTCCCTTCCCAGGCGCTAGACCCCGCTCGCGCCCCGACGCCCCGTCTCCGGACAGCGCGGGCCGGCCCTGGGGAGCCCGCGGCCCTTTCGCGCCCACGGAGCGCCAGGGCGGGTCTCCGGGCTCGGGGGCCGACGGGCACCTCACCCCCCCCACCCCGTTCTGGCCCCGCAAAGCTCGGCCGAGGGCGCGGCTGCTCCTTCGTCCGATGCAGCGCCCGCCCGGCCCGGGAGCCCGACCCGCCCGCCCTCGGCGCGTCTGGGGCGCGAGCTGTGCAGGTTATCAGCCCCTGCGCCCCTCCGCACCCCAACATGACTTGGCGACTGCCGAGAGCCCGCGCGCACGCCCGGGCCCTTCCCCGCCCTCCCGAGCCGGGGTCCCGCGCTTGCTCGGGCTCCGGCCCCCCAGGACGCTCGTGCCCGTCAGCCCGTCCCGAGGGGCGACCCCGGGGCTCCGGGGACACGTTCCCCGGCGCAGACGCCCCGCTCCCCGCGCGCCAGCTCCGGAGGCGCCGCCCGGCCCCGGACAGGCCCCGCGGCGGGCGCGGGAAGGCGGGGGCTGCGGGCGCGAGGTCGCGGCGCTGAGACGGTTCCCGGGCTCCCCTGGGGCTCCTTCCCCGAGACCCCGGCGCCCCCTGCTCTGCCCCCTCGGGGCCCGCCGGCGGCGCGACAGGCGTGGGGGCCGCGGGCGTCAGGGGCGCGGGCGGGTCTGTCGTCGTCACCCGTGTTCGCACTGGGGAGCCCCCGGCGTTTGCGGGGAAAGGGCTCGTCCCAGCGGCGGGGGATCGGCCGAGCCCGCGAGCGACCGGCGGGGGCGCCTGTGGGCTGAGGGCGCCGCGGGCCGCTGCGTGACCTGGGGTCGGCGCCTCCGCCTCTCCAGTCCGCGCGCTGGCCCCGCCCCCGCGGCACGCCCCGCCCCCGCGGGCTTCTGGGAGCTGTAGTTCCGGCCGCGGGACGCGTCGCACCCCAGCGCAGCGGCGGGACGGGTGTCTCGGGGCCGAGAAGCGGCCCGAACTCGCCGCACCCGGCGGAGGCCGCCCAAAGCCCCCGGAGCGGGACCCGGACGGGGAGGGCGCGTCTGCGCGTCTGTTCCCTCGCGGTGCAGAGGCAGGGCGACCCCCCGCGCGGTCCCTTCCCCCCCCGCCCGCCCGTCCTCTTCCCAATGCCCGCTGCGCCCCCGGGAGAAGAGGGGTGCAGCCGAGGGCGCGGGATCCCCAGCATGAGGGAGCCCCCACACCGACCCGCGCCCGCAGCGCCCGAGCCCCTGCGCCATCTGACCCTCGTCCGCGTGGCCGCAGCTGCCCCGCCCCGGCCTGGGCCCCGCTCCCGCCCCCCTCGCAGCCGCCCCCGCCTGGGCCCTCCTGCCCTGAGTGTGTCCCCCCCGCCCCCTGCTCCCCATGCTCCCCAGGACAAAGGGCACCCAGGACAAAGGGCGCCGGCTCGGGTTTCCCTTTTCAGCCCTGCAAGGTCTGGAACCGAGACTGCGGCGGAGCCGCCGGGAGCAGGACGCACGGGCTGCAGCCCCACGGGACTCTGCAGCGGAGAGACTGGCCGCGCACGGGGGCCGGCACCGCACACCAAAGGACCCCCTTCCAGGAGCCGCTGCCTTCGGGGCGCCCCGCTGCCGCAGCACCCCATGGCCCACTGGGCGCAGGTCCGCCGCAGCCTCCCTCGGAGCCATAATCACAGCAGGACCCCAGCATCTTCTCACCAGTCACGGCCCCATGGTGGGCAACTTGTGCAGTCAAAAAGATAACCAGCCACCCCTCCCCGGGCACCGAGCCCCCCCAGGTACTAAGTCCCCCCCAGAAGCACAGAGTCCTCCCAGGGGCCCCTCCCAGGCACCATTGTCTGTGGTCCCCTGGCCGCCTCTGCTCTATTTCCCTGTAAGCGAGGGTTCCTGTGACTATTCGCTCATTTGCCTGAGTGCACCCCCACACGGCCGGCCCCTGGGGATTCCGTTCATTCTCTTACACGCTACACACGGGGTACCCCGAGATGCCCACAGTCTGGGTTCAACGCTGACTGACGAACTGCCCTGTGCCTGGGAAAACACGTTTAAAAAACAATGAGATTTGTCAATTATAACAAAAAGTATAAAGCGTGGTGCATTCCTTAATCCAACACCTTTGAATTGTTAAACGCCACCAAGAAAAACAAGAGTTTACTAAGGTTTATAACACATAACCGCTTTTAAAATAAGTCATGAAAGTATGTTTCCAAATTCATTTTGAAATAAATTCATACGATCTGACTTCGTTTCACTGGTAAATACCTTTGCTTGCGTGTCTAAGCAAAATCATCTCCTAAATAGTCGCAGCGTCATCCCAAGAGTGAATCTCATATCCTTGCACAAGCCATACTCAGATTTCTTTGTTCCACCCCCCAAAGTTTGAAAAACATGATTTATTTGAAAAGTTAAGCCAAGGGGTCTGTGGGTGTATAACTGGAGGAGGAGAGCCCAGACCCGGGAGGCCTCTCAGCTCAGCTCAGCTCTGCGAAGGAACCAGGGACTGTAGGACTTTTTGCTTCTGGTCTGGCATTGCCGGCACTGGCCCTGGCACACAGTAGGTCCTCAGAAAACATCCGGGGAAATGAGTAAGGGGGGAAAGCCCTGGCCTGGCCCTGGCACCCAGGAGGTCAGGAATTGTGGGGTCTGAATCTCCCCTGTACTCTGGATGTCGGGCTTCAGCACACAGGGGGCCCTCAGGAAGAATGAGTCCTGGGGTGAAGGGCCGCACGGTGAGCATTCACAGCGCTAGCCCTGGGGGCCCTCCAAGTCAGAAACCAAGCGTTCTGGTTCTTTCCTGCACCTGCTGGGAGGGCCCAGAGGAGCCACCCCGCCGCGGAGCCGCCTTGAGACCA